ATGAGTTTGCGAATCTTGCCAGTGTCTAACTAGATAGGAAGCAGAAGCTGACAAGCGGTACATTGTCGATTAGCGCACGTTCTACTCCATAACCAAATGCACTGCGCACGTGAATGTGTTTATGGCAAGTAGCCATCAAAACTCTGGATAGTCATGAAGTAAAGTTCCTTAAATTAACCATGTAAAGTCACACATACATTTGAATCCTGTATAAAAAGAGTATCAGAAACACAACATGCATATTTCAAAGTTCTAGCGACTTTAATCTGTCGTCATACTCAACACAACGTTTCAATGCTGAGAACTCCAACACGACACTAGCAATGTTGTTTTGATCGCAAACAGTGTTTGTAGGGTAAGCACTTAAGAAAATGATCTACGACCTAATGTCGATAATAGAAATGGCTAATGAATGCAAAAGAAGGTATAGATGTGTTGACGGTTTTTGTGTACGCTTGGATGTATGTTCACCGTCTGTGCTTCCAAGCTGTCCACACAATCCATGTAGGTTGTTACTACGAGGCTATAGGGAATTAAATGATAACTGATATATAAATATACCTTCTTCTATTATCCCACAGTACAGTATAGGTGGCCTGTCTTCAACATGAAACCTCCAATCACATCGGTTATTATGCCACAGTTTTACATCATATAGAAGTCGACTATTCGGTTAGTGTTCCTGTTCAAGGACGAAAAAAGAGCCTTGTTCCACTGAAACATTCTTTTTTGGATGTATTGCTTGGTGTTATTCAATTATCTCTGCAGAACTATAGGAATTCTTTATTCAAAGACAAAATATCTTCATCAGATAATGATAATTTTTGAAACTGGATAGTACCAAAAGGTGAAATGATAATCTGAATCATAGTGGGACTCAAGCTAGCAACCTTTGGGTTATCAGCCTGGCTGCCTACTAGCTGAGCTTTGAGATTCCGTTTCATATTGTTAGTAACAGGTAAACATGACTACACTGTTGACAACAACTTGAAATCTTATTGAGTTGAGATCATTGCCTTTCTAGAAAACATCATCAGCACTAACTTTAAGCTGTCAGGATTCCTCCATGAGTATTTGATAGGCTTGCCCTGATGTAGTGATTTCTGTGATTGGTTGTTTCCTTTGACAATTTTTTTATTGATTACATAGATTTTCTCGTTGGTTGTTTCTCTGCCTGACCTGTGACCTTTCTGTCGTTTATCATTCCTCTCATTGGTTGATAGATTGGGTCTATGTCTATACATCTGTTGATTGCTGACTGACTGATCTGAATGCCCTTGCTTCTAGGAATTCTCTGATATTCTTTGTCTTTCCTCTGTCTGAGATCTTTAAATTGTCAAGATTAAATTCACTCCAATAGTCGTTATCCATGTGCATTGAAATGAGTAATGAAATGTCATGACGTTGAATAGTCAATTTGTGTTCATGTAGACGAAGGCGAAGAGGATGACCACCTAGTGCAATATAGTGCTGATTGGAATTGTTGTAATTGATTTTGTAAATGATATTTGGTTTATTTTCTTTTGTTGTTGCATCGTTCTATCTGGATGATAGTGTCTGGAGGGAATTTGTTGGTTTATGAGACGCCACACCAATTCCAAGTGATCTCAGTAACCTTGTCATGATCTGTCAAATATTCTTTATGTATGGTAGGATGATATGTTTGTTTGTTGATTTCTGTCCATGATAAACATCTTCTGATAAAGTCTCGTGAGTAGCCGTTCTTCTTTAGGATAGAAGCAAGTAATTTTCTTCATTTCTGTGTGAATTTGTCGTAGTGCAGTGTGTCCTCACTTTTTTCAGTAGGGTCTGCACGCAACTAATTTTGTGCATTGTTGGGTTGTTGCTACTGTAGTTGAGGTCTTGATTAGTGTGTGCTGGCTTCGTGTACACTTGAGTTTCCAGTTTTCTGATATTGGTTCCACTGACTAAAACATCCAGAAATATCAGTTTATTGTTCGACTCCCTTTTTTCGTGAACAAGATGTCGTTGAAAACGTTTCTCAACAAATTGTATATGTTTTCTAAATCATCTTTTTGAATGATGACAAAATTATAGTCCATATAGGGGATCCAATTGTTCAGTTTGATAATAAAATGAAATGATGCCCTCCAGTCTCTGCATCACTGCTTATTTTATGGTTAAACAGTTTCTTCAAAGTGTTTCAGTGCCTAAATTTAAACTGGTAGCCATTTTCATAATAAAATGAAGCAATTTCAAGACCATCATTATGAAACTAATTATGGGATTCGCTTTCATAATAACAAATGAAATAGGTACTACCTATGAAGAATTTGCATGATGCGGTGAGATTACGTAGGTCATCTGAAAAGTATGATATATTTGTGCAATTCATTTCGCACAATGTGATCATACAATTACTCATCAAGGCATATTACGGGAAAGGTGAATAAAAATTGAGTGAGATAAAGCAAAAAATATTAAGATAATACAAGTCATCTTGGTAAGTAGAAGAGGAATCAGAGACTCACGTTTCAACCTATTTGGGGCTCATCAGCTGGATGCACCTGCACAATATTGATACCTATTCCACAAGCGATGTCTATCTTGCCTTGATTGATAACGTTTTGCGTTTATGAAAAATTAACTTTCTAGTGAACTGTTGAAACTTAATTGGTTATTTTGGCAGTTGTTACAGTAGCATTTAAAGTCACTCCAAAATTATTTTCACAACTCTCTAGTAAAATTATCAGTATTTTTAGTCGGTCAAATATTCCCTTTTTTCATATCAACATATCAATCGGAGTCCACTAAGATGAAAGATAAAGGAATGAAGAAGAAATTAGTTTAAAGTGGTAGACAGTCATAATAGAATTACAAGGAAGAATAAGAAAAGGCTGAATTCAGAATGACTACTTATTTCACATAGAATTCCCAACCACAGGTTTCTGATGTCAAGTAAACTTCAACCAGGAAGCTTACATTTCTGTACATAGGTCAGAACAGCAGTTGAAGATTTCATGGACTGATGTCATGTTTCAGACTTGCCGCTCTTGATCTTTTACTAAATTCAACCTATTTCAGGTAACATTGTGCGATGCAGCAGACGGTGAGTAGATACACATATCACATATCCCAGCCACCAGAGGTGATGAAGGTTCATAACTTATAATTGAATTTCCACTTGTACTCAAAACTCTACACCTGACATCTAGGTTACTGATATGGCGACACCAAGAGTCACAATCTATGCTATGAAGGTGATGGTGGTCAAATGTACAAAGCCGTCTCTTGTTCTCTACCTTTAATGGTTATGTTTCACAGTCACTCAGTAGGACAGAGAGTATTGAAAAGAAGTACACTCAACCCTTAATAGATAACTGATATTATTATTATTTGTCCCTTGGGTTCCTAATGGACATACGGCTTCAGTAACACGTCTTCATTCCACTCTCTCCTCTCCAATCTTTTCAACCTGGCTCCACGACAGCCCACAAGCTCTCATTTCTTCCTCGCACGACCTCCTCCATGTCAACATCGCCTCGGACACCCGACTCATCGTTTCCCATCTGGGTTGCACTCGAGTTCCTGGCCTAGTGCGTGATGTCCCCGAATGGTCTTCTCAGTGTATGCCCAATCCATCTCCACTTCCCTCTGTATATTTGTTGAGCGACAGGTTCTTCGTTGGCTGGTGGGTTCGTTGCCAGGGTGAGTTCCTTGTTGCTTATTCTTACTACTCTGGCCATCTGATCTTCAGTAACAAGCGTAGGCAGTTATCGATGAATATCTGTAGTTTGGAAATCCCTTTCGTAGCGCGCCAAGTCTCTCAACCATATAGGAGCACTGACTTGACTGACGCTGGTGTTGAAAATCCGGATATTGTTCACACTTTGCTGAGTGCAGAAGATCTCCACACTGGTTTCAGGCTAATGAATGCCTGTCTTGCTGTCTTTCTGATCCTGGCTTTGACATCCTCGTCTGTGCCTGTGCCGCCTGTAGTTGAAACGATGCTGTCTAGATAGGTGAAAGAGGCTAATTCCTTTAAGTTTCTCTGTTGATGGTGATTGGAGCTTGTTGTTGTTGGTTGGGTATTTTCATCACCTCTGTCTTCTCTATATTCACTTGAAGTCCCGTCTTCGCTGCCCTGCTCCTTCTATCAACTTGTTATTTTTGCCTGTAGATCTTTGTGTGACATTAGACACAAGTCATAACTGCCGAAATCCAAATCTTCTAGGATCTTTCCCCCGGTCCAGCCAGCGTATCCCCCTCTTCCCGCTCCTCACTGTTTGTTGCATGATTCAGTCCACTACAATTAAGAAGATAATTGGTGATAGTAGGTGGCAGCATTGTTTTACTCCTGCCTTCACTTCAAAAGCATCACTGAGCCTCCCACTGTAAATTACGTGGCATGTGGCGTCTTCATATAGTTATTGAATGAGGTTGATAAAGGTTTGTGGTATTCCGTAGTGTTGAAGCAGCTGCCAAATTACTTCTCGGTTGACGCTCTTGAAGGCCTTTTCAAAGTCGATGAAGTTGAAGTGTAGAGTTGACTGCCATTCCATACTCTATTCTATGATAATGCGTAATGTAGTGTTGCAATTTGGTCCGCACATGATTTGTACTTCCTGAATCCAGCTTGTTCGAGTAGTAATTTTGAATCCAGAACATCCTTTAGTCTCTCCAGAATGATGCGGCTTAATATTTTACTTGCTTTGGTGGACAGCAGCATGATTCTGCGCCAGTTCTTGCAAACAGTTAGGTCTCCCTTCTTCGGGAATTCAATGATTCATGAGTCCCCTTTATGCATTTGTAACCACATGTACATTTAAATTGGTAAGCACAATACAGTATGACTTCATCTTTCATCTGTATTGACTTTATAGTCTATTTTCTAGTCTTTATTATAACTTTTGTTGTTACTTTATGCATCTTTTTAGTGTATAGGAGTAACGCTATCATTACAATTAGACGGTCATAAAGGAAATACAACTTTCAGCTGTGCTTGTGTATGAGTGTTTATAACACTTCAATACATAATCATGAATATGAATGGCAGCAATGCAAGATCATTAACAGAGTACAAAGTACAACATCTTAGAACATTTCAAGTTGCACCAAAAAATGTCTTGCCAAATACACAAACAGCTATTGACTTATTGATGCAAGAATGTTATTCACATGTACGTAGTTTCAATATGTCAATTATTGACAATAATAATGAACCATATCTTGTACTGACTGATCCACGTAATGGGAATGTAAGTTTATTTATTCAATATGCATTGTAATCACCTGATAAACTGTGAAAAATTGTAATTTCATTTAAACCAATGTTATACTGTTTATCAAATGAGTTGAGAATTGTAAATAATTTAACTTAATTAGTTCCTAAGTTCGAGCCCTGCCAGGACTGTGGTTCAGTGGTTTAGGGAGATGACTATTGACCATTAGGTTACATATCCTTACCTTGCTTCACCTGTCGAGATTTAATTAGCCAGGTGGTATCACTAGCCTTCACATACAATAGATATGGCTGATTGCCTAGTGTTTAGATATGCACAAGATTGCCGAATGCGTTTCGTCTGTGTACACTTTTGATGGGTCCCTACACTGGGATGAGACAGGTGTTCAGTCCGCTCAGGCTTCCAATGGCTCTCCGACTGATGTAAATCTATGATGAGTAATAACTTGAGATCAATAAAATAAATCCCTACAAATCTCTAAACCGAAGTTATTAGTTCCCTTTATAAACTATGACAAAATAAGAAGAATAGGTTAATCGTCTGAACCATGTAATGCATTCGCGCAACACATTTCGAACAGTCTGATCACACATGTACTTGTCAAGGTGTTACCTCAATTTAAGTTAATTTTGTTAGGTACGCGGATGACCTAACAGTATCCATGCCCGTCATCTCTCTTCAAAGTGTTCTAAGTTTAACAACTTCTTAACAGAAACTGGTCACTTGTATTCCTTGAACAGTATCACACTCAGTTCCTCCAAATGTCAGATGAATAGCTTCCATCCCGTGACTAGTTTTGTTGATGGTTCTGTTGTAGAGAATGTAGCAAGCGTTGTCCATCTTAGTTTATGCTTTTCCTCTAGTCTTTCTTCTTCTCGTCATGTCTTACTGATTTCAAGGAAAATCCTCCGCTTGACTTTTCTACGTAAGGAAATTCAAACAGTCTGGCTTAACTCACCATCTATTCCCAGTTTTGTTAATTCCTATGTTTTACCCATTATTCCCCTTTATTCTTTCGTGAATTACGGTAAAAGAACTATATTGCATTGGGTAGGATTTCGGAGACTGTTAGTAGAGCAAGTGGTACACCACTAACCATGCTGATAAATAAGATTGTGGGTAGACATCTGAACTCTTGTAGATAGGTGGCTGCCAGCATTTTAGTTGATGACAAGCATTATCTGCATCCGCAACTCTCTCCATGTCTATCCTCTGGGAAGACAAGAAGCAAATATATTAAACTTTAGCAATAGAAAACAGCTATCATGACCTTGAGGTCACTAAACATTTCAACAATTATCTTATTCTTCATTACGTTTTGTCAAACAGCACCATTGTTAATGTATGCCTGAAAAATGTTGTACAACGAGTAAACTGTTGCAATATCATTTGCTGAGAATTTTGTATTGTAAATAAAATTGTATTTTAGAATGAAGTAGATATATTGGTTTTGACAAATTCAAGAATTCTTCCACAAAATGATTCATTTAAAAGACGTGGAAACATCAATCTTGTGGCTGGTCTCAACGATATTTTTCACAATCGAAAGACTACGACGTCTGATACCAACGTTTATGGCTTCAGATATTTCAGTTTGCTTCTGAATCTACTTTATAATGTACTCCGATGGCCTTATTCGTATGGATCTATGAGTTATCCATATGTATGTGTCACTACGTGCACAATTGAGCTAGCAGACTCAATGAGATGTGACATCATTGTTCATATGCTGTAAAGGTTTTAGAGAATATGTAGGATTTATAACCTCTTTTAATCGAACCCTAAATTTTCAGTAATTCCTTCTAAAAGCAGTATTAAGTCTTTACTTAAGGACTACACTATGAAAGTCACCTTTGTATAGAAGGCTGATGAAGACATCTTTCTTCGCGACAAAGTGAAGAGCTGGTTTTGGCTCTGTGGCTACTTCATGACGACTAATGAAACTTACATGGACATGGTAACATTTGAATTATCATACCTTTTGTTCATTTTAGCGCAGAAGAGCGTTTGAAAAGTGCTTACTCAGTAAGACTCAACGAATACGCATAGATGACATCATAGTATTCTCACAGTTCATTGTCTTATAGCCTTTAATATAAATAAGTATGACTACTAAGTGTGTGATCAGACCGTCCAAAGTGTGTTGCGCAAATACATTACACTGTTCAGACAATCTACATATTCTTATGGTTTTGTCAAAATTAAGAACCACTTTGAGGGTAGAGAATAACTGTAGCTCAGGTGAATGGTCTTGGTTGTATTGTGTTCTCTCAGATGGGTTGTTTCGTCATGGAGCCAAAATCGTCTTTCCAGACAACATCATCAACACCAACTTCACTATGAAATCAGCTGTCAATATCTCTCCATCAGTCATCTACTAGCTTCCCCCAACAAACTGGTTTGTGTCTGATAGGTTGTTTCCTTCGATTGTTGTATCCTTGACTGACTGTGTAGATTTTCTCGTTCGCTGTTCCTCTACTTCACCTCTAACCTTCCTGTCGTTTATCATGTTCCTTACTAGTTGATAGATTAAGTCTGTATCCATACATCTGTTGATTACTGATCGACTGACTGACTGACTGATTTTCCTGAATGCCAAGCTTCGAATGAATTCTCCCTGATATGTCTTGTGTTTCCTCTCTCCGTCAAAGATTTCTACATTGTCGAAATTCAATTCATGTTTATGGTTGTTATCCATGTTCATTGAAATGAGTGGTGAAATGTGGTGACGTTCAATAAGCAATTTGTGTTCATGTAGACGAAGGCGAGGAGGGTTACCACTTTGTCCAATGTAGAGTTGACTACAATTATTGGAGTTGTTTTTGTAAATGATATTTGGTTTGTCTTCTCGCACACAAACAGCAGTACAACAGCCTTACGGTGAAACCAAGAAAATTACTTGATGTCAGTCACAAAGAACAACGGTTATCCATGAAGCTTTGTCATTCGATGCCTATCCCGATCATCATCAACGTCTTCGACAGAAATCGAAAATGGGTCACTCTACTGTGCATAAAGAATGTATGAGAGATCACAATAAGATTACTGAGATCACCTGGAATTGGTGTAGCGTCTCATAAACCAACGAATTACCTTGAAACCATATTGTGCAGACCAAAGAATCCAACAACCAAAGAAGACAAACCAAATATCATTTACAAAATCAATTACAACAATTTCGAACAGTCCTCTTCACCCCTGTTTACATGAACACCAATTGGCTATCAAGCGTCACAACATCACTTCATCGCTTCTCATTTCAATGTACGTGGATAACAACCATAAACATGAATTGAATTTCGACAATGTAGAAATCTTTGACGGAGAGAGGAAACACAAGACATATCAGGGAGAATTCATTCGAAGCTTGGCATTCAGGAAAATCAGTCAGTCAGTCAGTCGATCAGTAATCAACAGATGTATGGATACAGACTTAATCTATCAACTAGTAAGGAACATGATAAACGACAGGAAGGTTAGAGGTGAAGTAGAGGAACAGCGAACGAGAAAATCTACACAGTCAGTCAAGGATACAACAATCGAAGGAAACAACCTATCAGACACAAACCAGTTTGTTGGGGGAAGCTAGTAGATGACTGATGGAGAGATATTGACAGCTGATTTCATAGTGAAGTTGGTGTTGATGATGTTGTCTGGAAAGACGATTTTGGCTCCATGACGAAACAACCCATCTGAGAGAACACAATGCAACCAAGACAACCTGGAATGTATCATATTATGATGTTAATTACCGTTTCATCATAACGAAGGATACTTTGACGCTAACATTACGTTGCTATTTCTATTTGCCATAAGAATATGTCTCACTGACACTTTCTTGCTTCACAATATAATCATTAGGTGGATCACAAGTTTTACAACACAAATTACAATATCTTTAAATTTATAAGTGCATAGTTTTAACTCTAATTAGTAAACTTTACGACTAGCTTCATCAAAAATTGGCATCTACTATGGTTATTGCTCATTATTGATTTGATTAGTAATCATGACCTAAATAGATAACCAAGTTCAATGTTAAGAAGAATAAATACCAGCGGTGTTGAATGACGGTTACACTATAACACGAATAGACACAAGTATACAAATCATTGAATTTCAACAATATTGGTTGAATAGTATCGTGTTTACCACGAGAACTGAACATCCTCCGTTCGATTTCTAGTGGTGTCATATAAGTTCGCATCGCTAAGGAGTCCCATACTAGGAAGAACAAGCTCTCTAATGCTTCCAGGTGCTCACTATTTCTCGTTAGATATCAGGCCATGATTAATGCTACTTTGAAATTTCGACTTTTAAAGCTTCATCAATAATCTTAAAGACAACACAAATGAAATTCTGATGTCGACTTGGTTTGATTTTTTATATCAGGTACCTTTTTATGTTCAAACGATAAATTCACGTAGAGTAATGAGATAGGCGAGTTTTTCAAAATACACGAACTTTTAGGATCCATTATGTTGTTGCCTGTACCACTAAATATCTTAGCAAGAAGGCTATGTACTTCAGTTATTACAGAAAGTAGACATGGTAAGAGATAATTCTTTCATGTGACAACCCTATGAATCACATACACCAGCCATCTATTGGTGAAAAATTGTGTTAATAGCTACTTCTGTGTGTATATATCAGTTCATCTATTCCTATGGATTTAAGTCTTCAGGCTGTATAACAGGTGTAGATTGTTCACTGTAGACAAAAGCCGAAGTTCTAAACTCCATAAAGTTGCTGAAATCTGGGAAAGCATCAGGACCATATGGAATTCCTCAACAAGCACTCAAAACAAATCCACAGATATCAGCAGGCTTACTCATATCACACCAGTATTGCAGAAGGTTTCGAAAGAAGGAAGGAAGGAAACAAAGAAAGAAATGTACCTGCTGATTGGAAGAAAGCACACCTTATCAAACGCAAAAATGAGGGTGTCCTCAGTCATTGCAAGAAATGATGGGGAATCATCCTCCTGTCCACACCGACCAAAAAATTAAGCCGCA